AAAGATCTTATTCCAACGTTTTACCCGTTGCAGTTGTTCGATCTAGAGGACCTAGCCTCCATGCACGTAATTCATATCCCGATTCTTAATCAACAAGACGCCTACTCAGGCGTTCACTCCGGGTACAGGGCCTTAAACTAAGCGCAAAGCTACTTTAACGTATGCTTATATAACAATGAAGGATATCTTTAGTGCATGATATTTGGCATATTAAAGTTGGAAAAATGGGAGAACTACAGTGTAACCACTTCACCAAGTAACTCAAAACATAAGCAATGATCATAATATTTTATAACATAAAAATAAAAGGACATTGTGACACTGATTATCTCTAATAAAATCTATCTAGTTCTTTAAGTTCTATTTAAAACATGCGTAGGAGTGTTTTATCGAGCCGTATATAAAAAGCCAGAGGTCGTATTTTACAAATATTTTATGGGTTTTTTTTATTGTCGAGAGTAGAAATTCGAGGGTGAAAAGCTTGAGGGTACATTTTAATAATTTAACAAAATAATTTTAGCTCGTGTTCATTTACTTTACTTTTAATTTTTAGCTCTTATTTTATATGCAATTATTATTTTTTTATATGCGATTACTTTTTATATGATAAAATATTTCTACATAAAAATAGACATGCCGATCAAGTGGCGGCGTATGGTGCATTATCTGTGTTGTCTCGCATTGCATGTCGTAAATTATTGTATTGTCTATTCACTATATGGTCTATTGAATCAGAGTAATCAGGACTTGTTTAAACCTTGCCATTGCCAATGCCGATGGCTGCTGATATAAAGTCTATGTCACAACATTAAGCAAATTATTTTGCCCGCAAATTTCTACCCTCGACAATAAAAACCATAAAATATTTTAGAAATACGACCCCGGACTTTTTATATATGACCCTCAACTTTTTAATATGACCCTCGACTTTTTAGTCTTTTTATATATGATTTTTCGACCCTCGACTTCCCACCCTTGACCCTCGAGAAGAACTCCTGAAACTGAATTACTAAAAATAGCTAACTTAAACAAACCACATTTATCAAACACGCAAAGAAAATTATTTAAAAAGTAATATATTGTTAGTTGTAACGAACCAAGCCATTTGTCGATCAGAACATAGTTAATTAACTATGATCAGAAATTCAGAACTAGCTTTGTAATAACGGCAACCGCTATTAGACACGCGAGAAAGTCTCGAATTTCGATTTGTATTATGAACTGTGGTCACTGTATAAAAACAAGTGTATGAGAACCGCTCCATTTGATAATATTTACTGTAAATAGAACAAAATACATTGTAAACACAACGCTCGCTCCGATCTACTACGACTGGCGGCTATTTTTAGATATTTCGTAATTTTTGTAGTGCGTCGCGTGCGTTGCGTACGGTGCACCTGTGGAAGTGCACACTTGTGTCGCCTAAGAAAAAAGATCTGACATTTTAATACTCCGGTACTTACAGTACCCGGAGTAATAAAAGCTGGTTATCGGTTACAATCAAAGCGTTCAATGGCACCCCAATGGACCGGGGTTTTTTCAATCTCCCCCGAAACCACTAATGGAAACCCCTTTATGCCCTCCTTACACCTTCCAAATTCCCCCCTATTGCAGGGCACGGTATGCAGAAACACTGGTATAATCCCTGTCGCTAATACTCGCAAGATCCCTGTGAGAATTACTAACAACCGTTCAAAAACCGTCGTTAACTACATTAATAATCATAGACAACTGAAATTAGTCAGTATTTCAATACATGACCAGGCTATGAACCGAAACAACATATCAAGATTACCGAGTTTTCTTCTTATAAATGCTCGCTCACTGTTACCCAAAATAGACGAGCTATCCCTCTTACTATCGACACATTCTATAGAGTTTATTGCTGTAACTGAAACGTGGCTCAAAGATACTGTTCCTGAGCAACTAATTTACATAAATAATTACAACATTTTTCGCAATGATAGATCTTACAGCCGTGGTGGGGGTGTCTGCGCTTTCCTCTCGACAAATATCCCAGCTAAAAGAAGAATGGACCTTGAAAACCCCTCTCATGAATGCTTATGGTTATGGCTACGACCCCACCGCCTCCCAAGACACCTAACTGGATTAATCTGCTGTGTCCTATATAACCCGCCTGATACGCCAGTCAATGAGCAAAAGGAATTAACGGCCTATCTTATCGATCAGATTGACCGAGTTAGATGTACCCACCCCGACTGCGGTGTTGTCTTACTCGGTGATTTCAACAATTTAGATATCAGCGATCTCCTGTGCCATCACAATCTTACGCAAATAGTGGACACCCCAACGCGTGAAGGTAACATCTTGGATCTAATTGTTACTAATCTAGAAGCCTTGTATTCTAAGCATGTGATTATAGCACCGCTCGGCTCATCAGATCACAACATTGTTAAATGGTCCGCGAAAACTAACGTTTTAAGAACAGATAATAAAACAATTAAGAAAAACATACGTTCCTTCCCCATGTCGGCACGTGCAGCTTTTGGAAGATGGTGCTGCTCACGTGAGTGGTTCTCTGATGCCGAAAGCAAAAACTCTGCGACCGCTCTAGCATCCTCCTTTACCAACGAGTTAAATTCTGCTGTTGATAGGTTATTCCCGTCTAAGGTTATTAGAATTCATAACTCTGACAAACCATGTATGACGCCTGCATTAAAAAAACTGATTTATCAAAGGCAAAAAGCCTTTCATTCTGGTAACCTTGACCTCTGACGTCACTATAGACTTAAAGTCCGAAACGACATAGGAGTGAAAAAGCGTGCATATTATATGAACAAGGTACAACACCTAAAATACAGTGACTCCAGAAAATGGTGGGACTGCGTTAACCAGATGTCCGGGAAAAAAAGGATCTGCAACCAATAACATTAAGATCGTTAAGAATGGTACCACTCTATCTGGTAAAGATCTCGCCCAATCACTTAACACCTATTTCTTAAGCGTGAGTAATGACCTACCACCACTAAATCCTCTCCTGCTACCTGCCTTTTTCCCTGCACCAAGGCCTGTACCAAAAATTTTCCCTGACGAAGTTTGCACTAAGATGCTCAATACAAAAGTTTTCAAATCCAGCGGTCCTGACAATATTCCTAACCGGATTATTAAGGATTTCGCGTACGAATTGGCCGAACCTGTATGTCACATCTTTAATACATCTCTGTCCACTGGTGAATTCCCTAACATATGGAAAGATGCATTAATTACACCAATTCCTAAAGCGCCATCCGTATCCTGTGAGGAGGAGTTGCGCCCAATCTCCCTTACAGCCTCTTTGTCCAAAATTCTTGAGGACTTTGTGGTCAATTGGATGGTGGATGACGTGAAACATAAAATCAACCCACAACAATTTGGTTGCCTTAAAGGAACCTCTACTAGAAATACATGCATGCAGCAACCCCTCGCCTTTTTTAACAGATGAGGTATAGAAATTCCATTCAACATGAAGTACTCCATGTTCAAAATAGTAATAGTCGCTATGGTAACATGAAAATAATATGAGAAAATAATAGGAGATAATTTTTTACAAAAAGAATCGTTGATTTTCATAATTTGTTATTCAAGGAATGTAACGGTATTAAAGCGTTTCGAAACTTTGCCGTGGAACTGCAGGGGAAACTGAAACACTCGTTTTGTTGACAGTATAGTCAGTAGTTTGCTCGAAAATACGGTAAAATTTATTTGCTTTATATAAGCAAAAGCTAGTTTTTGAGTTATACTTTGGTGAAGCCATATTTGCTGTAGGTAACAGACCATTATAAACACGCATAAAAACACTATACGCTGTATTAATTGCCCTAAATAAACAATATTTAGAATCACTACATTTATACATTTTCATGTAAATACCAGCTTGCAGAAAAATATATTATTTATTGAGTCAAATGGCATAAAAATTTCGCCGATATGAATGAAATCGAAAATACAAAGCAAGTACGGTATGAAATTTTTATACTGAAATGTTTATAACACTTACCCAAGATAGCCAAGAGTCAAGATAACGATTAAATTTTATATTAAAAACATCGATCTGGTTCGTCTTCGACAAAATTCGTGTTTATCAGTTTATAACTTTATGCATGCCTTTCACACTTTGTTTCACGGTTGACAGCCACTAATTCATGAAACTGCAGGATTTTTTCCAGTTAAATAGCGAAATACATCGCAGAAATATATTGTAAAATATCAAAATACATCTTTGCAAAATGAAAAACAATATTTTTAGAATTTTAGTACGAGCTATTACACGTACATGCGCAATAACATCGAAGACCGTCCATCACATAATGGAGGACAACTTTGCACTTCGCTATGTTTTCAAATACCCGGGTGTAAATAGCCGGGCGGAATTAGTACCCTCGCACGGCGCTTCGCGCCGCCGGCTCGGGGACAACGTTTTGCTTGATCGATATGATCAACAATTGGCTGAGAACATTGGATGATAAATCGAGCTATCTGCGGATCGTTTTCCTCGATTTCAGTAAAGCGTTCGACCGCATCGACCATAATATCCTGGTCCCAAAGTTGCTGGCCCTTGGCGTCAGATTGTCGCTTATTCCATGGATATGCAGCTTTCTCTTAAATCGCCGTCAATCGGTAAAGATCGACAATTTCCAATCTGATTGGGGCATCAATAACGCAGGTGTCCCTCAAGGAACCAAATTGGACCCTATTTTGTTCATAATTATGATCAACGATCTTGAATTGGCATCCTCTAGCACTGACCATTGGAAATACGTGGATGATGTAACAATATCGGAGTCCTTAAAGAAAAATGAAGTTTCAGTCCTACAATCTGATCTTAACACAATTGAAAGATGGACTGTTAATAACAACATGAAATTGAACGGAAAGAAATGCAAAGAAATGATAGTGAGTTTCGTCCGTAGCGAGAATGACATCCCCCGGCTCCTCATTGATGGTTTACCTCTAGACTTAGTTCCTTCTTTCAAAATTTTGGGCTTAACCATGAACAATAAATTGAAATGGCAAGATAACACTGAAGCGTTAGTTAAAAAAGCCTCAAAACGCTTATACATTATTCGTGTCCTACAGCGCTGTGGTCTTTCCCCCAATGACCTCTTACTAGTCTACTTTTCTATGGTGCGCTCTATCTTAGAATATGCCTGTCCTGTCTGGCACACCATGTTACCAAAGTGTTTGGGGGTTAAAATTGAAAAAGTTCAAAAAAGAGCTTTCCGTATTATTTATCCGACAACAGATTGCGAAGATGCTCTCAACATCGCTAAATGCAAGCGCCTTGTCGACAGACGTCAAGAGCTATGTGCTAAAACATTAAAAAAGATCTTAAAACCCGATGCTCACCTCAACCACCTCTTACCCCCACTCCGTGAAGAATCGCATGAACTGGACTTAAGAAACAATTCTAACTTCACATTAACTAAATGCAGAACGGAACGTTTTAAAACTAGTTTTATACCAGCAATGACTGCTAATTTTAATAGAAAATAATTTGTAGTATTTTAACAACTGTACATATACGATATATTTATATTTATATTATTTGATATTCATCTTTTATTATGTTTCTGTAAGCATATTGCAATTCACCTTCGGGTGCCAAAATGTGTTTCTTAATAAACCTTTAATAATAATAATCTGTTGATAAATCCTTACATCTTCTTCCCTTCCATTTCCATTCACGAATACAACGCGTTCATAAAACTTTAAGCTTGACTGAACATCTTTCTTCAAAGATACAATAGGCTGATAAATCCTTGCATTCTTCCAAGGTACAGTGCTTTGGTTAAACCTTGACTGGACATTTTTCTTGAAGGATGCAATACGTCGATAAATCCTTATTTCATTTGCGGTCGCATCTCCATGACTTCCGTTCGCAAACACAACGCGTTGATAAAACCTTAAGCTCGATTGAACATCGTTCTTCACAGACGCAAGAGGTTGATCAAACCTTAGAACGTCTTCCTTTTCTAGTACAATGTAAACAATCGTTATAATGACGGGAACTCCCCAGCTAAAGAGACTATACTTCAAAAATCTGTTCCACTTCTTCAGTTCATCAGATTTCACTAGAGTATTGCCACAAAAGGTTTTTCTTAGGTGATATATATTAACAGTAGCATTCATAATTATACTATACGTCATGAACTTATTTGCTACAAACAGCCTAGCACACGGTATCTCAAACAGTTTACCTACATGAGAATACAGTGACAAAAATACTACAAGGTAAGTCTGCCACAACAGCAAGGCGAAACTAAAACTCATTAAATTCAAACCAGGAAGTGTGCGCAGTTCTGGAAGCATGCAGTAAACTATCAACAACAATAGCAAAGAAATAATAGAAAGCGCTAATGCACATAATGGTGCTATAATAATCTTAAAGTTTGTAATTACGTAAATCGGTCTCAATTTTTCTTTGCCGCATACATAAGGTTCACCGTCTATAACCGCATAGTCATTTCTTTCGAAATATTGACCGTTATCTGCCGAATACACAGCAAACTGCTTAGTTACAGTGTAGTATCTTGCATTTAATTTATAAGAACGATAACAGGATGCGCATAATGACTTTTGCCACGAATTACGCGTTCTCCAAATCGCCTGAACTCTTGAATCATTGGAAGCACACATTTCAAGACTGTTGTGACTTAATCGATATTCGCGATAATCGTATATTTTTTTGTGGTAAAACAGCGAAAAGTTTTTAAAAATATTGTATTGTTCACCGTACTTTACGTTGACCAAATCATCATTGCAGGACAATCTGAGCTTACTTGAACAAATTGCAAAATACCCCATAATCACTCCGTAATCTTGCCTTGTAAAATTTTGATTGGTAGGTTTGAAGAAAACGGTAAAGTTTGTATGTAATGTGTAATTTTCAGAGTAAAAACCGTCCACAGATACATTACAATACTTGAAAGCTATCGTTATCTTTTCCGAAACAATTAAATTCCGCCATTTTTCTTTAATCAGACGGTCTGAAGAATTACAAACTTGTAGACCATCGTCCGTTATTCTGTACTCATCATAAGAGTATATTCGACCTTGGTATATCATTGAGAAGTTGTTCCATACTCTGTATTTATCTTCATTCTTTATAGTAATGGTAAAAATGGCGCAATTGATCACACATGTTACAAGTTTACCTTCAAACACAGCATAATCGTACTTTATTATCAGCTGCTTTGTTGCCAAAATCATAACTCTAAAATCCTTAAACAAAGTGTATTCCCGTCGAGTAAAGACAAAGTATACAGCGAGTTTATTACAACTTTTATATTGCATTGCCTCCTTTACCAATTTATTGCGTACTTTCCAAATATTCCTCACGTAGTTATCGGTGGAGCTACAAATCTTTATGCTATCATTCAGAACTCGATACTCAGTATAATCGTACACCTTGTTCTTATAGAGTATTGAAAAGTCAGTTCGAACTTTGTATTCATCATCGTATTGTATATTGATGATTGAATCGCTGCACATTAATAGATCTTCCTTGGTATACTCTGTTGATTTGGGTCTGAACTTTTCATCGCATGTATAAGGTTTACCGTCTTCCACTCCATACTCATTTCTTGTGAAATATTGACTCGTAACTGCATAATAGACAATGAACTGCTTATTCACGGTGTAATACTTCCGGATCAACCATGACTCTCTAATGGATTTATTGCAACTTTTTTCATGCATATACGGCTTTACCCATATATTGCGTAGTTTCCAAATATTCCTTATGTAGTTATCAGTGGAGTTACAAATCTTTATGCTATCATTAAGAACTCGATGCTCGGTATAATGGTACACCTTGTTCTTATAGAGTATTGAAAAGTCAGTCCGAACTTTGTATTCATCATCGTATTTTATATTGATGATTGAATCGTTGCACATTAATAGATCTTCCTGGGTATACTCTCTTGCCATGGGCCTGTAGTTTTCTTCGCATATTGTAAGTTTGCCGTCTTCCACCCGATAGTCATCTCTTGTGAAATAATCACCTGCCGAATAGACAGTGAACTGCCTATTCACAGTGTAATACTTTCGAGAAAACGAAAGGGTTCTAATGGGTTTATTGCAACTTTTTTAATGCATTATCGCCTTTACCCATTTATTGCGTACTTTCCAAATATTCTGTACATAGTTATCAGTAGAGTTACAAATCTTTATACTATCATTCAGAACTCGATACTCAGTATAGTCGTGCACCTTGTTCTTATAGAGTATTGAAAAGTCAGTCCGAACTTTATATTCTTCATGGTATTTTATATTGATGATTGAATCGTTGCACATTAATAGATCTTCCTCAGTATACTCTGTTGATTTGGGTTTGAACTTTTCTTGGCATATATAAAGTTGAGCGTATTTCACCCCATAGTTATTTCTTGTGAAATATTGACTGCTAGGTGCGAAATAGACAGTGAACTGCTTATTCACAGTGTAATACTTTCCGTACAACCATAACTCTCTAATGGGTTTGTTGCAATTTTTTTGTTGTATTTTCGCCTTTACCCATTTATTACGTTCTTTCCGAATATTCCGTATGTAGTTATCAGTGGAGTTACAAATCTTTATGCTATCACTCAGAACTCGATACTCGGTATAATCGTACACCTTGTTCTTATAGAGTATTGAAAAGTCAGTCTGAACTTTGTATTCATCATCGTATTTTATATTGATGATTGAATCGTTGCACATTAATAGATCTTCCTGGGTATACTCAGATTTTGAATCAGTGTCACGTCTGCTCCGGAGATGTTGAGTTGTGAGTGAAGCGAACGTTTCTCTTTTGGCTGTTTGTCTGAAGTCATTCTGTTGAAAAATTTGATTTTCCAATGAAGATATATTTTTACTGCTATCGTTTTGCCATTCTGTCTCATTTGAGTGGGAGATGGTTGTCGATTCTTTGCGTGGAACGTTTACCTCATGCGGCGATGAAGTTGAAAAAAGCAGTACTGGGCTATTTTGTATTCTTTCACTTCGGAGTGTTTTCATCGCAGTTCCTAAAAATAAATTATGGTTAACAATTACTTCTGAAGTGCTAAGATTCACACATTTTCAAATTTTAACTTTTCTGACCGTCTTTGAAAGATCAGTTTTCTTCCGCGCCTTGCGGCCATCAATTTGTTTCGCATTTTCTGTCAAGTTAGAGACGCGTTCGTTTTGTTCGGGAGAAACGTCAACATTGAAGGGTTTACCTTTGAATTCATCTTTTAATTTGGTCGGTTCTGTTTTATCTTCTCGCCTGTCATACTCTGAACCACCACCATGATAAAAACAGGCGAAAATCAGACAGAGGGAAAAGAAAACGACTCGATACAAGAGTCGAAAACTAAAGCCACGACTCATGTTGCAACTGCAAGCGTCGTTCAGCAACTGTGTATTATTTCGGCAAAAGATAAAGTTTAAGTTTTCAAATTTGAGTTTTTTTATTTTACCAGCTGTTCCACCGGTCATAGAATTCATACACTCAAAACGCTAATAAGGAGGCTCATTACTGATATTGAAATTTCAGGTCGATATTTTTAAATTTCGTATTTTTACGTTTCTTACTTTACTGGGGAATTAGGTTTTACACATTTTTAAAATTATGGCATGCACATGCATTAAAATGTTTCGTCTTCGAAATTAATTTTCGTAACACTTGAACCCTGCAGAGACCAGCGCAAGTTCCTTGACAAATTTGTTGCTCGTGTGTGCGGTCAACAAATTTTCCTTGACAAGTTTCGCTTGACATGTTTTGTTGCTCTCGTGCAAGTGCAGGGAGTGTTGTTAAACATTTATCTCGCGTCAAGGCCGTCTAATTTTTTTTTTCCAAAACCATTTCTGTACACTTGTCAAGTTTTCTTTGGCGGCCGTACACACGAACAACTTTTCCTTGTCCAAAAGCTCGCATGTCCATAACTTTGGAACAAGGCTTCTTGGCAAGGACAAATTGTCAATTTTTTGCTGTACGGCAGGAGCAAATAAAATTTGTTAAGAAAAAATTGCCAGGGCCGGCAGGGGTGAAAATTACCCAATGCTGGAAACAAGAACGTTAACTCCAATTTTTTCCTTTAATGCACGTTTTTCGATATTTATGTGCAGAAGGGAAATACTAAAGCAAAAATTTCGTTTTGTTCAAATTAAAATTTTTTTGAAATACAGAATTTTATGTTGGCATTGTAGAATTTTCTGTTTTATGATAGTCCCGTTTACACTACGCTCGATTTTTGGTACCGTACCACTTTTATCCGTGCCGTACCAAAAATTGAGCGTAGTGTAAACGGGGCTTATATGCAATGTGCAGAATGAGATCATATGTATCTCAATCAAGCGAAATATTAAAATATGCATGCCAGTTTGTTTTCTTAAAGTTAGTCATGCATGGCGTTCGCAATTAACAGCCAAAAGATGAAATGAAGCTGGATGGAGAGAACAATTCGCAACTTCTTTTTTTGGGTTGTTATTGGTTATTATTTCCGCGCACACGAATATAGTCACGCAGTTTTATCGGCAATTCATAACAAATTTCGTGCATTGATGGTTTGTGTATTTCTACTCATCTTTCAATAGCTCTGACGATATTGTGTCGTCGGCAACCAAGACCAAGTGTTAATTAACAAAACTTTCAATCATTCTTATTCAACAATTGTTTTTTGGCTAAAATAAATTAACCTCCCTATAGGACAAGGACTTTCAAAATACTAATTCGTTTGTATGGAACGTCAGTTCTAGCTAAAAAGCAATAGTAACTTCAGATCTAATTAATTCAATTGCATGCATGCAGGGATTAAGAAATATTATTGAAACATTTCTTGCTTCGTCTATTACTATAATCAGGATGATACCATGTAAAGGTGCTGTACTGTAAAATTGCTGAGGTTCTGCCATTATGATAGTACTTGTTGTCTTTGACAATTGTATATAAATTCAGTTGTGGACATTTAAATTTGTCAGTTTGTGTCAATGATGATACGGTTTGGAATCAAGTTATAGATCTTGACTTAATTTACAAATACATGGCTAGTTGTACAAAATATATTCCACAGAAAACGTTCTCACGTACTTTTTGGATTACACGACGCAATTGACTTTGGAGTGAGTAATGAGTACAGTATAATTGAATGGGTAGGTTTCTGATGCTTCGTCGTAAGTGGTAAGTTAATATTGCATTAAGTCGTATACGTTAGACTAAGTGTTTGATAAACTAGTGGAGTAGCGCTCTTGGAAGACTTGACCTCGTTTTTTAATTATTTCTACAGAATTTTTAATGTCATGAAAACTATCAAATGATCTTTTTTCATGGTTTTGGTTTTCATAACATTGAATTAAAACTGTGTAAAAATAATTAAAAAGATGAGGAAACGCCTTCAAGAGTGCCAATTTGACAGTCCTGAAACGGAGTAAAAGGTCATTAACTCCATAAAAGGGGTTAGATTTTAACTCCATTATGAGAGTTTGATAACCCCAAAAGTGGAGTTATTTGTAACCTCCCAAAACGGATTATTTTGAACCTTATTTGCATACCCCTTTTTCGGAGTTATTTTGACTCCCTGAAACTAACAGTGCCGGTAGTCCTATAGTAATTATGTTTTTATATTATATTTATACATTTGTAATTAGTAGTCGAAGAGCCTCAACCACCCTGTGGATGAACTATCAATAAAGCCATTATTATTATTATTATTATTATTATATAGAGAATAATACATGGGTGCGCGGAAATACCAGATTTATTTCGAGTGTTGAACATGATATCTCACGAGTGAGCGCAGCGAACGAGTGAGATATCATGTTCAACACGAGAAATAAATCTGGTATTTCCAAGCACCCATGTATTTTTCTGTTTATTATATAAACAAAATTCAGTGAAAAACAATAAAACGTCCGTGGCAATGCGTTTTACAACAAATGTTATTTTCACACGTAAAAATATCGTATTTTTTACGTGTGTTTAAATACGATTTTTCTCAGTGGCCAAAAACTCTATATAACACTTATGTTTATATAATAAATATTATTATTATTATTATTATTAAATCCAATACCTACCTAAGTTAATCATTAACAAGTCTATTATTCCCGCTATTGAAAGTGGAAAATCATTCTGCTATTTAGGAAGATACTTTAATTACGAAATGACAAATAATGAACATAAATCGGAATTAGTATCCCTATTGACAGACCTAATGAAAGAAATAGATCTGAAGCCATTACATCCGAAGAACAAGATTCTCCTCTACAGTCGCTACGTTCTTTCAAAACTCTCATGGCATTTCACTATAGCATCAATTCAAAAAACGTGGATTTCTGAAAACTTGGTTTCAAAAGTTTTCAAACAGTACATTCGTAAATGGCTTGAGGTACCTATTTCTGGATCACTTAGTAACATTTACCTAACTAGTAACAAATTTGGTCTGAATATTATCCCCCCCCCCCACCCTCAACTAAATTCATACAATGTCAAACAACTATTCGCTGTGCTCTGAAGTCATCTCCTAATGAATCAATAACCCACCTCTGGAAATAGACTTTTAATAGTTTAGTTTAGTTTAATGAATTTGTCACATTTACATAGAAAAAAATTTACATTTACAACTGACAATAGAGCAATAAAAACTAGCAAAATAATTAGTACTTGTGACAGGAGTCTGAAACAGAACTTGCGTCCCAATTGACATCAGACCCCTTTATGATTAGTGTCTTCAAGTAAAAACACACACACACACTTAACTGGAAACTATTCCGGCCGGCAATAAGTTGGTAACATTGTCTTGAATAAAGTAAACAGTTCCGACTTAAAGTTGGATAATGTTCCACACGACTTTATCTTGGGAGGGAGATTGTTCCATAATCTGCAGGATCTTGGGAAATAGGAATTATGAAAGTAGTTCTGCTTATACTTGTCTATTGGGAATAAATTGTTTGTATCGGAATTTCGAGTATTGTAACGAGGAATACGAGTATTGTAAGTACTATTTACAACATGAGCGACCGTGTTGTATCGGATATACAAACTCGAGCCGAAGGCGAGAGTTTGTATATCCGATACAACACGGACGCTCAGCTTGGATCTAACAAGCGAACAGTAAAGAACTTTTCTAGTGGAAGGATCAGTCAGGTCTTTATAAATCCGTTTAATTAAGCCTAAGGTCTTATTTGCTCTGGATACCATTTCTTCAATGTGGTTCCCCCACGTAAGTGTGTTAGAAACCAAGATTCCCAGATCCGAGTATGACGATACACTTACCAGCGGCTGGTCTCTAGATTATATTGTCTATCAATGATAGTGCCAGGCTTTTTTCTTGAGATGTGTAATGATTTGCATTTGGACACATTGAAAGGAATACCCCAATCAACAGTCCATTGATGTAATTGCCCAAGGTCTTCTTGAAGAAGCCTACTAGAATCCGTGGAATCAATGGTTTTATATAGTTTTGAGTCATCTGCATATAAGGCAACTCTAGAGCCGTTTTGAGTGTAGAACGGGAGGTCATCAATGCATGTATATGAGGAACACGATAGGCCCAAGGGTGGATCCCTGAGGAACACCGGATGTTACGGGCAACCAATCCGAAGCACCACCCTCAAGCACGACTCGTTGATATCTACCTGTTAGATAGCTTTTAAACCATTGTAACAGCGGCCCAGAGTTGCCTAAATTTTCTATCTTTAGCAATAGGAGGCGATGGGATACTCTATCGAACGCCTTAGATAAGTCGAGGTAAAGCACATCTGTTTCTTTTCCACAGGAGAGGTTGGTTAGAATATCGTGATGTACTTGTAGCAATTGCGAGACTGTTGATTTCCCTTTTAAAAATCCATGTTGGAGGCAGGGGCGGCGCTTACTCTCTTCGAGTGGGGTGAGTGATCTTTTGCCGACTGTTGTTTGGTAATTTTGCCGAGTCATTAGCCTATAGTAAATGTGCATGTTTAAATGCGCTTTATTACCCTCTAGCTATTAAGCCGGTTTTCCACCAGCGAACCTGCCCGCGCGAAGCGACCCCTTTCCTTTGTCGGCATCCATTTTGCAGCCCTCGAAAACCGTCAAAATTGAGGTCGGCAAAAAAGGACTGACCCAAATCTGACCTTGGTTTCGGCATTTCTTGAAATCTGTTTCACTTCTTGGAGCACTATTAATCACGCATTTACGAATCATTGAAATCGGTATATATCTGGAACGTTACCTCCAGCCAGAAAATTCGAAAGTTGAAGCCAAATTCTAACTCCAGACGCGCGAAATTTGATCTTCAGACACCTAACGTATATACACAATACCCGTCAATTTTTAAACCTTAAACCGTAGTGTGTTCAGTTAATCGAACTACGAATCGAATTCTATAATCGCTGACTTTTTAACAGCTATC